TTTGTGAAAATAGTGTCAGAGTATTAGCGTCAAGTACAGTAATTTTATCTTATTAATTATTACTGTAGGTATTTCTTGGAATTCTTGAATAGTTAAAAAATTGTAATAAATAATTATCAAGATTTAAAAAATTCCTATTGTTAAGAGCTTAAATGATAACTATGATATTCATTACAGGAAGTCACCTTACCGATAGTTATCTCTAGTTGGTAACTAGTACTCTGTGTAGATAAAGTAGAACCTTCCTACACGTGGCGCCACTTATACATTCTAATCTGAAACTTCATTATCCAGTAGAGATCGAAAATTGAAAATTAAAAATTTTTGAATATTTAAATTTAATTAAAATTCTTATCTAATTTATTAACTTCCTGTGTATGCTCGAAATAGAAACTTACATATCATTCTCTATATCATATTGATATGATTGCAGAGTACATACACTGCATAAAATTTTGTAAAACAAGTCGTTCCCTTCCGTGACTGTTTCCAAATAAGTATCTGGATCTTATCATTTGTATCACGAAACACGTACAACCGGGTATAAAAAGCAATTGGTGAAGTCCAGCACATGTTGTGCGATACGTGTAATTCCAATGGCGTAAAATTAATTTCAATTTTTCAATTCAGTAATTAATTAATAAATTAACACCGTATGCATTGCATAAAATCATACAAATCCATTATTAAATTATTGCAATACTTTAGAAAAAAATGTAAATAATCTCTTCGTGGTATTACGATTAGTATTTCAGTTCCTTGTTAATTAATTACTGATGTATCAATGAAGATTATCAAAAAGTATGATTCGAAAAATTATGCGAGGATACAGAGTAACAGTGTCAGGTCGAAAGGATTAAGGAACAATGTAGTAAAGAGGTACGTAGCTAATTTTACGCCTATGAACGAGTAAGGCAACGTATGAACAGCCATTAATGGCCATACACCCCCTACAAGGTGGAGGAGAAGATCACGGTCGATCGTATAAGGCGTTCCATTCGTCGGATCGTTGACCGTGCAAGGTGATACCGTATTCTTCACCTCGGCCTTTTCTTCTTACGCAAGCAAATCAATTTTCACTCGCGGTCCATTTAACCTCTTCTATCTTATACGCTGTTTTACCTGTGAAACATACCTCCTCCTCCTTTTCCTAGAAAATGATACTATCTAAGGATAATTCTAAGGATACGCGCGAAAGGAAAATCAATTTCCATGAATTGGATTCGTTATGTCAAGTGACTATGTAAATAAAAAAAAAAAAAAAAGAGCAGAGCATTCAAATTATCATGGAAGATGAATAGTATTTTTAATGATGGCATTAATTTACTGAAATTTGAAAGGTCCCTTGAAAATTCTGTAATTTAGGGAATCGTGTGTTTCCAAGTTAGTTACAGAAGGCTGCTCTATTGCCACGTCTCTCCCTTTCAAATCTCACTTCTTTCCCACGTCTGTTCACCACACGTTGGCCAACCATCTTTCAGTAAACGTGTCTTGTTCAAAGCTGAACCAACTTGTTCACGCTTGAATGGTGTATTTATCAAAATTTTTTACTCCGCTGCTGAAAGGAATTTATGAGGAACTGCTGTTACAGTTCAGTAGAATTCATAGAAAGTAGAGGTTGTACTTGTTAAATTACATTGGATAATTTGAATAACTTTTATTCGGCTATTCCGAAATATCTCATGAGGGTTTCAGTTACCATTAAGACACCTAAGGTACCATCGACGAAAATAAATGTTTGCCGTACGCGAGGCGGTATTCAAAGGCAGTAGGAAGCTTCCGAAATTCGTCAGGAAGGATCGGAGACAGACTTCTGCCGACGATCCAATATTCCCTATGTGTGCCTAAAATATCCACCTTGGATCCGAACCAAGGATTTTCCCATCTCGTGGAAAAACGAGATCCTATCTGCGTTCATGGGTTCGTGCCTAGACCGTACAAACAAGCCGGTCCTAGGGAACGAATTTAAAACGAAGGAACCGAACGGACAAAGAGAGACGGCTAAAGGATGAAATAAAGGTCGGTGTAGACGGGAAGAATTCGAGAGGGAAGGAGACAAAAGGGCTGGCACATGCGAGAGGACAAGCTAGCTCCAGGAACATTCCAAGTGATAGAGAATCTAGGAGCGACGAAGAAGGCACGTGGGAGGAACACATTGGTGGATGAGAGAGGATAGAATGGAGGAAGAATGTTGGTCGTGGGATCGAAGAAGAGGATAAAGTGGATGGAAGGCGGAAGATCTAATTCTTCTGTCGAACCAGACACGAGATATCCGTAAAGTTCATGGTGTAACCCCTCGGTGTCGTGAGGTGGATGCAATTTAAGTTGCATCCTTTGTCGCAGAATAATGATACCTTTCGATGCAGGATGATATTTTTAATGACGATAGTAAAGGACTCTTTTCTTATTTTTGGCCATGGAAGATGGGAAAGCTTGGAAAATTTAAATTAGTTAATTTTCTTTCAAAAATCAACAAAATTTACATAGGGCTCGTTTCTTATTTTTGACTATGGAAAATGGGAAAGCTTGGAAAATTCAAATTAATCAGTTTCGCTCGAAAAATCTAATAAAATTTATATAAGGCTCGTTTCTTATATTTGGCTAGGGAACAGCTTAGAAAATTTAAATTAATCAATTTCACTCCAAAAACCTAACATATTTACATAGAAAATTAATGATATAAATAATCAGAAAATCCTCAAGAAATTAGTTCAATTCATTTTCCTCCCATTCGTATCATTTTTTATTTAAATGCAGAGATATTTATATTCCTCCGGTTGCCACATTTCAAATGCACCTTAAATACATTTAAAGCCCCTCGTCACTGTAACAAACAAGTTTTTTTAGAAGAAATTCTCTCGCAAGACACTTTCGTACTCGAACTGCTTCGTTTCTGTTGATTTTCCTTTCTGAAACACAGTGTCGAAGAGGAGCTTCGGAGGGAACAAAGTGCTTCCCGTTTTTATTCAGGTATCGTCGTCGTTGCGATGCAAATGTTGGATGCAAATGGGTAGGGCCGCAGGCAACGGAAGTCGTACGCTCGCGGGCACGGATCGCGCTCCGTTATTTCCTGGCTGGCACGAGTCGTTCCGGCTCCACCGCACGTGCGTTCTTCAACTATCGAAGACTGATTAGTTTACAGAGCTGTTAGAATCATTAGATTAAATTACAGCAAAGTTATAACTTCTGTAACTTTAGCAAATAATATTTTACAGAAGAATAATTTTATCAATTTTCCTAATCACACAAAATTGTATTTAGAATTTTTGAATTTTATCAAATTTTGGTAATTTTAATCATTTTCTTCCCTCATATAGCGAATTAAATTTATGTATCGTACTGTTCTTTGAAAGAATTTTTGTCTGCGGTTTACACCATCTTCTTCTGATGGTTAGGTTGAGGAAGAATTTAAATTGAATTTCTAGTTCAACTTCCAGCCAGAGATGCAAGGTATTTTCGTATCCCATTTTCCCGGTGCCGGAAATAAAGCAGTATTCTTAGCGGAGAAGCGGCTATGTAGCATGGCTTCCGGTACACACGTTCGCTTCATTTGTTTCTTTTAGTAACGAGCTACCAACGTGGCTAGAATCACAGAACGTAAATAGCCCGCAAATGATTGGACGTACGTCTCATACAAATTAGTCGAAATCCTATGATGAATGTTTATTCGCTCGTAAATGTCCAGTTACTTTTGTTTTTCCTCGAATCGACCCTCCCATTTTGCCCGTCTTTCTTGAGACACTTCCTGCTTATCCTCGATCATTTCTACGATTTTTAGTTTCAAATCTATAATCTTTAGCTATAAAGCTAAGCAGAATTATTATTAATGAAGATCATGCTTTACATTAAAACGTGTAAATAATGTATTTCGACAGTGACGGTACATTAATTAAAGTACATAGAAAGGACGATGCTAAAGTGATTTAAGCTTTTTAACAAAAATATTTATGAATTTTATATTCACTGATAATATTCGATTATAGGTATATTATCATGCACTGTGTGGTTAATTCATCTAATTTTTCAGCACAAGCAGGTGTAAGTACTTTTGTTATCACATTTTTTGCTAACTGTAGGTTTCTTACTACTTATAGATTTTGTATCGATCTTCTTTTGCGCTTCTTGTTGTTCGCGCAGTTTCCTCGCTTTCTTCTCCTCCTCTTCGAGAAACTGTAACCACGCCTTGTGCGGCCCACAAAACGATGTGGGTGGTATTCTGTCTAAATGTTCATAATATTTCCCCCATTTGTTCATAAAATAGGTCCCTAACTCGCATTTCGGCCAAGGTTTCACTCTGCACGCTCGACCTATCGCGAATAAAAATAAATCTAAGAAGATTCTTGCTAGATTAAATTGCTTCGAACTCGTTTTCAATTATTTAGGATTGCTTTAAAAATAAACATTCTGCAGTTTTGTTTATTGTAAATCATTTACCACCGCAAGAAGTACGCGGGCAGTCGTGTTGCAATCCATTTCGATGATAACAGTCGCAATCAATGTAAACTGCTCCTGCATACAATTCCCTGGACTTCACTGGCTTTAGCTGATTCCCATATTTTCCTGGTCCTAATTTTTTAGACTTTTCCTCAGATTTTATAGATCTTATACCTTTTCCCTTCATCTGCTTTTTTGAGGAACTCGGAACATTTGAACGTTTTTTCTGAAAAAATTATTTCCTCTTTCACACAAATCTTAATATAGATACTCAGGTGTGTAATCAGAAAAAAGGAAAAAGAAAAATTTCAAGAAATGCTATCTTCTATAGAAACATAATACATAAGTGCAAATTATGAATATGTACAGTATCGAGCATAGTAGGCTTTCTCAAGAAAAATAATAATGCTCCCCTTTCTGGTAGGCTTCTCCTCCCTTGAATTTGAATTACCTACTTTGCTCGGTATTGTACATTCAATGCTAAATACCTCATTACTCTACAAATTAAAATAGAATAAAAGAACTCCTCATCTTGGTTTTATAAGTTTTATTAAATTCCTTTTGCCAAAATCTTAGTACAATGTTATCATCGGTCTACAGATATTTGCATATTCAATCATTAAAAAAAAAGGAACGAATGAAATAAGTCATTTAGAAAATGCAATCTGGTTAATATAATAATTTCAACCGCAAACTGATTCTACGTATTCTTTCAAACTATTATCGCAATTAGCAATCGATTTATGGTCACTGCAAACCAGAATCATTGGTTGGGTCAATTCGGGGCTATCCGAGTTCGGTTTCGAATCACGGGAAAGCATTTCTTTCCTCTTCAATTCGATCACAGCCCTCGGAATGGGCAGTTGACACTGATCCTGAAGACCATTCCTCTTCGACCGACACACCTCGTACCGTTGCAGCTGATGAGGAGGGAAGTAATCCCTGAAACGGGTGAGCAATTCCTGCGATCGAATTTCAGGCACAAAATCCTTGGAGCATCCTGCGGCAGATCTTTCTCTTCCCGAATTTGTCTTAGCTTCGTTTCGACTTCCATTTCTACCAACTTCAACTCTGGAACTTGTCTTAGGCCTCGCGCAATCTTCCGACAATTTTCTCGCTTCGACGTCACGAATCTTCATCCGCGATGGCACTTTCGGTCTCGTCCGATCTTCCGACAGTTTCTCGGTTTCTCTTAGAAGTTTCTCCGTGACGCTGGAAGGTACGAGGACACACTTGAACAATTTAGAAGATTCGCTTGCATCTCGTTCACCACGTTCCACCGAGCTTGACCCCGATTTGTGATGAGGACAGTCCCCGCTTCGAGGCATTCTATTGAAGAGACTTACAGGAAGATTATCGACAGAGTCCAAGCCATTCCGACGTTTCGTTGGAGGTTCTAATTTTGTGGATGCTGGACGAATCGTTGAACACTTCAACGTTTCGGATCTTTTTCTTTTAGGTTGCTGATAATTGTTCGGGCATTGACCATTTGAAGTTAATTCAACCTCCTCCTTAGCAGAGGATCCTTCCATATCCTCTGAGAAATTGATCGCATATGCTTTTGGACCATTTGTGTCGATCCTAGTCTCGACGGTATCGTGTAGGCCGGATGTCGAATCGCCAGGCTTGTGAGAAGAAACGTCCGGGCAGCGACTGATCCTCGCTAAAGTCTTTTTCGCCGTAGATCTACACTCGATTATGCTAGTTGGTAAATTGCGAGGACTTTCAGCGCAGTTGGATCCTCCGGTCGTTGGTCCGTAGAGGATCCTCGAAGCGGGTCCATCGGCTTGGCACTCGCCTTTGCTGGTCTCAAATGTCATGATTTCTTTGAAATCACCGGTGCAGTCTGCTACGGGTACTTTGGTGATCGTTGCTAATGGTCCTTTGTGGCATTCGCGAGATTCTAGGCGAAAAGCTGTTCGAGGTTGAGGTGATCCATTGCATTGATTGGGCTCTTCTGGGTACTCTATGGGCCGAGATATTACCCTGAGGAAAAAAGAATCAATGGTGGGAATTATATTTACTACTAGTATCCTAGATTCTATTTTAACCCTTTCTTGCCTTTTCGGAAAATTTTCATCTCGACAAGAAAAAATCTGTGATTATTTTCAAATATATAAACCTTTTGTCTTATACCTTGAATATGGTCCCGAAGATGACTGTTTAGTCTCAACGAGAAGACACGTCTTCTGGCTGGCTGTTTTCCCATTACAGGCTACCTGAACAACGTGCGCCACGGGTTCGTCACCTTCGAAACGACACTCGAGGAGCGTAGTTCCCGGTGGGTACCGTGGACAGCAGGTGGGATCGGTGGTTGCTCGACGTTCAAGGCCACGGGCCTGTTGGAATCGAATTACATACAGCTCGTATCGGTCAGCCCTCGTTGCCTCGTTTTCTTCGTTTTCTGTCCCCCACCTGGTAAGGGACTATCTTTCGCGAAATGCCTTCCACGTGTTCTTTCACTGTACCCGATCCAGCTGAGTTACGCTTTCTAAATCGCGCGAAATCTCATTCTCGGAGGAAATTTGTGTTAGGTGCGAACAGGATCTTGTTCTTTTTCAAATGATCGATAATTCATTAGGAAACTTGCTTTCGGATGCGAAAGTCATTGTAGAGAAACGAATAGCCATTAAATAAGGTATCGAGCATTGAATGTACTGTTTTGAACCTGAATTGATTAGACAAAAAATAGAGCAAGATCAATTTGTCCAAGGAATTTCTTACCGCAGGAGGAGCAGACTTTGGTTGTTTTTTCATTTTGCTGCAAACTGCTACCAAGTTACCTGCATCCTTCTTCCTAGAATCACAAATGGTTTCAATTATGAATTTTAACATAATGAAAAATTTCATTATACAAGACAATGTTTTTCCTTTATCAAAAGTCATAAGCAATAAAAAAAAATTGGGCTTCTATTGTACAAAGGTCTCTGAATGACAATATGCCAGCGAATTTCTGATTGCTCGTTGAACTGGTCAGCAATACTGTTCGTTCATTGATTCCAATTCGAAATAAGCATGCTGACCAATGTCCAAGCAACGTATGCAAATTGCTGGACCACTCCCCTGTGAAAAAAAAAGAAAGAAGGACGTTATGGTACAGCTGCCCCTTTCCGTTATCGAGGTCTCTCTCTCTTACTCTCATAATTGAAAGCTGAAAGTACAATTTCCTTCTGCAATTGGCTAATAACAACGGAAAAGTCTATGAACAACTTGCATTGGCATAGTTTTTTCTAGAGTGTTCTAGGACCTCTGGCTTTATTAATTAATTAATTTTACGTTGTCGTATTTTTTCTTTTCTACAATTAGGCAGGCTCTTAATTACGCCAATGGTTAACTTTCAATTGGTAAGGTCTTGGAATGATTCATAATCATTCTCTCACCTGCGCCACACATGACCGATCACCTATATCTACTTTATGCGTTACAAATTTTCCATGTTTCCTTTTCTGCAATTCTAACAATAGATACTAATCTATAACCTAAACGCAATCACTTATTTACGTGGTCAGACAGTGTATTGCAATTAATATTTTTTAAATTGCAATCAGAGTAGTTTGTGTTATTTCTATTTGAGGTTTTGCAATGAAAATGTTTAAATCGAAGGGAAATGGTACTTACGATTCAAGGCCGATAACCTTTGCAGGAAAACAAATATTTTTCGTCGTTGTAGACATGATTTTTTAAGTGATAATTTCCCCTGGAGCTTCGTATTCGCAAGCCTCGAACGCATCCTTCATTCACTCATAATTTTGTTAATTTTGTAGAAACGTTGAATTTCGATGTGAAATTTTAAGTATTCGACATTGTCTATTTGCCTGAACTTAGGCACAGAAAAATTTTGTTCCTCTGTTTCATTATTCATCATAATCAGAGTTAAAAAATAATAATTTTGAAAATTTAGTACTATTATTATATTCAATATAATTCGAAAACTTTAAATCCATTTCCAATAAGTTGATCGATATACTCCGGATAAAGTAGCAAGCCCAACTTACAAGTACGATTTTTCATTACTCGAGGGCGAATGAGAATTTACCGCAGATACGGACAGTAAAGTGTTCGATTATGAGTCTCATGGTGTTTATGCAAATAAGATAATTCATCGGTACTCGGTTGGTAGCACTGTTTCGTTTGGAAGTCGAAGGAAACGAGGGTTGTAAAACGCGCGTGGAACACGCGTGTTCTGCTTACAGGCTGCGCTTGGAAGTTTAATCTAATTGAAAGTATATGTCGCTTTATCGAGTGCAATTCCTTATCGAGACTGTCGCCAGTCGTGGAAATGTTCTGGTGTATCGTTGTTACAATAAATTTCACCACGTACCATGGTAGAATTAAACCGTATCTCTGTAGAAACCGTGCAGATGTACATGTTGCAAGAGAGATACTTTATTGAGAATGTTGCGTGATTTATTACCCGGTATGATCCTTTATAATTTCTCTTCCAAAGAGAAATGTTAACTCGTTTCAAAAGATTTTACGAACCTCTGCAAATTTATATTTATAAAATTGTAGAATTAAAAGTAGTTGTTCATTTTGCTATTGCATCGATGGGCTTTCACCTGCTAATTAATTTGTAATATTTCTGTAAGCAGTTATAAATTAATGTTCTTTCTATGCTCTGCTTTCCATTGCCGCGTTTGCAAAATTTCATATGTAATATTACGTTTCACCATAGTTTCACAATTCTATAAATTTTTACAGTTTCTGTAGCTCCTACGGTTTCGCAGTAATCTACACATTTGCTATAATTTTTATATTATTATTTCTTGCAATAAGCCTACTTTGCTCGATACTGTACAATTATTCTATTATTCTATTTCGACCATCATTTTTCAGATCATAGACAAAAGTCATACTTTCAAAATCATCTTCCCTACTAATCGTATCATTGTTTCCAAGGACATTTTTCCAATCGTTTATTTACCAACTGATTAATAGATTCAATCGCGAATCAGTGGCGTCGGAGGATCTCACCTGTCCATACGGAAAACGTGTCGATAAACGAGGTGTATCGTTTCGTAAAACAACGATATAAATCGTTATCGGGTGTTTCGCGGCGATGGAAACGGGCCGAACGGTCGCGAAAAGATAAATCCCCGGGTCGGTGTGTAAACACCGGATGAAATATCGACGAGACGAGAACCGTTTACCTGTTCAAACAGCGCGGCAAACAGCAGACCTATGTGCTCGTTGTTCGTTATGGTAGAACGAGCGTATAAAGCGTCGGTTCGCGCGTGCACACCAACGACTGGGGGAAAAATCGGCGAACCTTTCGCTTCGTGGTCGGGCAACCGAGCCGAGCCGTTGCTGTTGTTGCCGCTCTGAACCTGACTCAACGGGGCAGATGTTGTGCAATATCTCGTGCAGCGACCGCTGCTTTCACAAGGATCCGCGTGTCGATCGAGAACACTGTTAATCGACGTCCAGATGTAATTGGAAAAACGATATCGAACCTGCCGGCCAGGATTAATCCTTTCGTTAACCCCTTCGCTGCGGGAGATTCGAACGCGACACGCGCATCACGGATACATTCGTTGCAATCGCGTGAACACTTCGATAAATAATTTGCAACAATTATCGCTTGTTAGAAAGAGGAATAGAAGTTGTATTTACAGTGGGTGATCATATTATTATGAACAGTTCGAAATTATCACTTATTTGAAGTTTGATCGGGAATGGAATTGAAAATATACACTTAAAAATACACTTCCTTTTTATTGCAAAACTTACTGTTATAGTTTTATTATTATGATGTTGCTATATTTACAATTTAAAATATATAATGTTAATATTTGGTCACGCCGCCCTTGGCATCTATAATTGCTTGAATACGTCTCGGCATGCTTTCCATATTTTTTTGGCAATTTTCTAGCATTTCTGGGTCCGTAATGCCATACGAATATAATTTTGTCAATCAATTGTTGCTTGTTAGTTATTGTCTCTGATGCAATGCGACGCTTTAATAATTCCCATAGATTTTCTATTGGGTTTATATTTGGTGGGTTTCCAGGTCACGGTAAAACTTGCATTTTTTTATTAGTTAGTCAGGCTGTTACGGTTTTTGCTGGAAAGGGTATATTTCACTTTTATGGAATACATAATACCATCGGAAATACAAAATATGTAAGTTTTCCATTTGTTCATAATAATTTGATCACCCACAACGATAGGAAGATGTTAATAAGATTTTCTGTAGGGTCAAGGGTGCTTTTTAACCCTTTGACTAATGTTGGCGCCTATAGGCGCTTAAACTAGTTTCAATGTAGTGGAAATCAGTGTTTCGATTATTTCAATCTACTTTCTCAAAAATGCACGCCTAACCAAAAATTTTGCCGTTCCCAGTGTAGGGTGCGACTGGATTCCTATCGTATGATAGGGTTGGTACGTCTCAAAGTCCGCCATAGTCAAAGGGTTAATAAGCAACTATCTGATAAAATTAATTGCACTCCTACATGTGCCTTTCTTACATTCTTACGAAAGGATTAAGGGAGGTGTTAAGGGTGTAGGAAGAAAAATATACTCAGCTAATTGGATTGTTAGATCTGCTTTCGAACCTAGATCCTTGTTTGCAACAAAACTCCATTAAGCCCTCCGAGTCCTAATCGAGTTTTCCCTTCCTAAAGTGTCAAGGATCGAATGGATGCCCTTTACAGAAGATTTTCTATCTTACAAGGGACATTACCCAATCGTCACACGCCGATTTTGATGCCCTTTGAGTATGATATAGAACTCAAAAAAATATTTGACACGTATTTTTTTTTATCGGCAATCGTTCATGCTGAAGGGGTGAAAAAAATGACAAAAATAGATTATTTTTCAATATATTTTTTAAACAAATAAATTTATCAAAAAGGTGGCTACATAGAAAAATTTGCTGTTCAAAAACACAGAAATTCCATTTTGAATTTTTCGCCTACACCTAATAGTTTCTGAGATATTCAAGAAAATATGTTTTGCAACCCCAACTTTGAGGGCTATTTTCACCCCTTCAGCATGGACGATTGCCGATAAAAAAAATACGTGTCAAATATTTTTTTGAGTTCTATATCATACTCAAAGGGCATCAAAATCGGCGTGTGTCGATTGGGTAATGTCCCTTGTTAGTATCTTACTTGGGTAACTTTAATACCGACCTTCCTAAATACTATTGGATTTTTCTTTATTTTGAATCTTTAAATGAAAAACCGCGTCGCAACCCTTAGCTTGTAACATCTTCGTGGTGAAGAAATCTCAGTTTACGGGTCAGTGGTTCTCATTTACTTCCAAGAGATTGCGTGCCTCGAACTTTTAACGAGACACCGATAAATTAGTTCCATATCGTCCGTCGCTGTCCTTCGTATCGCGTTACGTGTCTCCTCGGTCGGTGGGTCTGTGCCATCATCAACTACCGTTTCTCGCCAACGTCTCGTCGGCGTCGATGGTCGTGGAAGGCAGCATCTTGGACGAGGGCAAAAAGGGAAGAGAAAGCGTGGACGAAAGAGGAGCCACCGAGCCGGCGTGGTTTTTCTTCCCACGCAAGATTCCTTGCCCGGGTCCGCATCCGTTTTCCCTCGAACGTCTGCTCGCCTCCATCGTTTAATCCTTTCAGCTTTGCACGACCACTTTATCGCTTCTGCTGCTTGCAATACGCCTTAAATCGTTCGAGAATTCATTTATCATCGTTAGATGTAATCGGTCGATTTTTAAACACTATTGCTTGTACTCTTATTAAGCCATAACAGACGGTTATGCCTGCTGAATGACAAGTACCCTGCTTCAGATCGAACGGATACATATAAATTTCTGCAGAGGAATTGGTTTTTTTTTTGGTATTTCAAAATAAAAATTACAAAATTAACAAATTTGTATCCAGCTCTAAGTTCTATTTTATTGATAGTTTAAAAAAGAAATATAAATTTCGCGTGATTACAAATTCAGCAACAGTTCTTCTCGTTCGCTTGGCAAAATTCGATCGAAACGATGCGCACAGCTGCGTCTCTTCTTTAGCAAAAAGACAAAGGCTGAAAGCGCGAGCGACGAAAATCCGTGTGCAAACGTAATTTGCGAGCATAGCAGACCAGTCAACCGGCTCCTGGTAAAATGCTAATTGAATTTCGGCCATTATTGCAACGGACAAGAATGGTCGCAACCTGACGAACATCTGACACTGTTCCTGTCAGCCTTTTGTGTCGCTCTCACGCTTCCCGTCCCCCATTTTTCCGCTCGATTTGTCCTCTAACTTATTCAACTTGCAATCACTGCGACTGCACGCATCTCTGGATCCGTATCAATGTTTCGAAACAGGACGATTCGAGAAGTTTAGAAAGTTGCATGTTTATGAAAAGAAAAAGAGAAAGATAGAAGGGCGTGAAAGAAGCAAAAGAGGGTGGATACGGAGAAAGAAACTGGTGACGCACGTTTTCCTTTCAAAGAAACAGGATCCAGTGGCCGGTGGCTTTTCTTATTGCACGCGCGATCCATCACGCGTGCATTTAAACGCGTCGTTTGCAAGCAACCGGCGTCGAGGACGATGCCTATCTCGATCTTCGAGGAATCGATCGCTCGACGGTTCTTGACCGATGGATCGATTCGTGAAATTTCGAGGAAATTCGAATGGACGATCGAGTCAATATTTTTAAATTTTATTGAATTAAATTTTGTAATTAAATTTCGTAACGCGCCAATCGTTAATCTTTGCCACCCATTTTTATTCTTTCAACATCGTCCGTGTTGAATTTCATGGAAAAACGAAGAATAATGATTATGGATGAAAAAGGCCCACCCACCAACGAAATTGTTATTTAAATAGCGCCCATCGAGCAGATGGAGGTTCGAACATCGCCCACTGGGGCAAATTGAAATTTAAATGGCACCTGCACCTCGCAGATGACACCCATCCTAATGAAATTCAAATGTTGTGGGATTCGATGATCGAGGATCACCGGTCAATCGATGTTACTTGCTAATGGAATGCCTGTTCTAGTAACCTAATTGAAGTTTACTGTGGCGAGATAATAAGATGAGCATACAGGAGCTTGTAAGTTGAGTAATATCCAGGGAAATTGAAATTTAAATGCCACTTGTTCATGGAGATTCGCGGAACGGATGACACTGATTGTGGGCGATAAAATTCAAACGTTATTGCAAGGTTTGATGATTGAATGACGTTTATTAAGGAGCTTACTTACTTAATCTTGAACCTTGGAATTGATTACCGAACGATACTTCTGACATAATTTCATGACATAAAAAGTATCGTTAAATAACACTTATGGCATATCAATTTAACGATTAAAGTATGACGAAAATAACTGTATAAAAGTTTCATTGATAATTTTCATACAAAATGGCTGATATTTCTTTAGAATGGACAGACTCGATCCATTGTTCGTTCCATCGAGAATCAGCCATTTTGGGTTAAGAATATCGATGAAATCTTTATGTAGTCATTTTCATTAAACCTTAATGTTTAATTTGATGCATCATAAGTGGTATTTTGCGGTACTTTTATGTCATGAAATTATGTCGGACTTCGTATTTCTAAATTCACCATATGCAATAACCTAATACCTTCAGAACATGGTTAAAATAGCTTCAGTAGCATCTTTCAATTGAACCGTTATTATCAATGATAATCAAGCTTCCAATTGAACATTAATATCGATCCCATCCAATTACAACGTGCATGTACGAACATACCAAAGATTGTTCCCTCTACAAGATTAAATCGATCGTTTCGTTTTATCCCGGCGCGGCGTGATAAAAAATTTGTTTAACGACACTGGTTATCGCGTGTACACGGTCGTTCGCGAGAAATATTCAGATTTAAACGACGCTAAAAAAATTTCTTCGATCAAATTGGAAATACAGATTCACGGTCGTTAACGAAATTTGAATAATATTCCAAGGTTCGATACCTGAACAGCACCCACTGTCGTCGCTAAAATTCCAACGGTACACACGCGATTGCAGTTCTCGGTTTTAGCTTGCATAATTTATCGCGTTTTACGTAGTATGTACCGGATACGCGATTAACGCGAATGTTGATGTCGCAACGGGAAAGAATTTGATAAAAATTTATGCCTTTCTTCGCGCTGCAAGTGACTCAGTTACGAATGATCTAACTGGGATTTTTTTTATTCCTTTTTCTTTTGATCCTGTTACATGGCCACCGTGTTTGCGGAACACGTAACGCCATTGGAACTGTTTCTGGGAAAAACAGACACTTTCCAATCCAAGAAGTATTCATGTCATTTTTATTATACAAAATTGCTGTTTTATTTTTTGAAAAATATATTTCTTATGCGAGCAGTGTTCTCCGTGAAAGTAAGATATTCGCATTCCATCTAGCGAAAGATATAAAATGTTTGTAGGAGAAAGTCCATAATAATTCCATGATTGTTGCTGAAACTGGTTCACGAAAATGATTGACCCGGTTGAATGCACGATTCGGTAAAAGTGGTATAGTTTCATCAGATCTATTCACGAGCTATTTCGACAAGATGGAAATCATTGTGGCAGTAAAATGATTGTTTTGCTCTGGTTTCGAAAGCGTTTCACTCTAGCAGGAAATGATTATCGATTGTGATCTTGAGTCCGGTCTGAGTCAACCGAGACATCGAATGTTTGTAATGGACATAAATAGCTAATCATCCTCACATTTTCCTTTTATTTTCCTTTAAGTCCAAAGTAAACATGGGTGTAATTTGCCTCTAAATTAAAAAAGACAGCCTTTGTGGTCATAAAAGAAATTAAAATTAAAATTAATATTAATATCAATAATGCAAATTAATACGAAAATAATTATATTCCAGTTATAATTAGCTAATTATTGCAACATTTTTTTTATCTTCTTTTAAGTTAAAGTAATCAGGAGTATAATTTACCAAAAACTTTAAATAGATAGCTCTTATGGCGATTACAAAAATGAAAATTAATATCAATAACCCCAAATTGATAAGAAAAAAACTTTATTTTTCAATACAGCAATCATTATTACAACAATGTTAATATATAAATAAACAAAAGAATGTTGTAAAGGGCAGCTGCACTTAGGACACACCATTCGATCTCTCATTCCCTCTCCGTCTACGGCGACAAGTAGTCTCGAGTATTTCTTGAAACAGCCGTCAGGGGCGCTGTAGGTCATATTCAGCTAAGGCTCGAGTCAGATAGTTGTGAAGCCGTGTGTCGTGCGGACGATCGTTGGCTGCTCGTGTTTCCGTATCGTTGCTCCGATTCGTGTACTCTCTGTGTTTACCTGTGCTCGTTGAAAATCGAAAAACAGAAGATCATTACTAGCTGTTCGATGGATAAACAGTGAGATATCGGTAACGGATCCAATCGTCTCTCGAGCAGTCCTGTGATGAAGACGTTGGGCCACGAGAGGAGCCGATCCCGTCTTTGTGACTCAGACCCTTTTACTTTTCTTCGTACCTCGTGTTTGCTCGACCAGTCCGAGTCGTTCCAACTTAAGTGCACCGAACGCATCTGTTGAACGAGCGAAGTAGTATTTCGTCGTATTCCCCCGATAGTCCCTGCATTCTTTGGACCATTTTCTCTGCGATCGATCGTGCATGATCGTGTAATCCGCGAGATGATGAGAGAGGTCAGTGTATCAGCAGGTGCATACCTGGCATACTTCTGGCCCGCTGGTAATCTTGGATTCCGCGAAACGATGCTGGTATAGAGGTCAGCAAGAAGCAACGGGGTTCACGGTTCAACGCCTCCCACTATCTACAGTGTCGGTTGTACACGAATGCTCTTGGTCGCGACTCTACTCTGCGCGTACTCGCTTCTGTCGATACACGTGGTTCAGCGAGCATCACGATACCGCGTCTATATTTAGAGGAATCCTTTGGCAGCGAGAATTTCGCCAGGCCTCTCGATCGTTGCCCTTCGAAATCTCGCCATCCCTGCGGCAGCGAGTAAAGTAGATTTAAGGGAACTCCCGATGCCGAGGAACATACGCCGCGTTCAAGGAAACTTTCGTCGATATAAAACCGTGTTCCGATAGGCGTTCGAAGATTCCAAGCCGCGTTTAACATTCCCGGCTCGTTAGATAACGCGGATGGATCGGATCGGATCGGATCGAACGAGCGGTGAAAGCGTAAAAATCGTGAGATGCTAGCGTGTGACAGCCGGAGACATGTTGAACGCAGAGCATCTCGAGGAATCACCGAAACGAAGGTCCACCTTCTACGTATCGTTGGATGGCGAATCGCGGCAACCGTCGAAGATCCCGAAGACGATCGGTCCCGAGCCCGAGAAATTCGTCAGCAACACTTTCCCCATCAGCACCTCGAAGACGGTGCCGAACGTGATACTGACTCGTACTCTGAGCAACAACGAGTCACTGTCCAATCCTAAGAGAACGGACGATACTTTTGCCGAGCCTAGAGGCAAGGTACAGTCTCTGACGAAGATCTTCGAGACGCCGAAGTGCGATCAACCGTCGAACGGTTGCGATCAGAGGAAGAAGGTCGAGAGAACCAGGTCGTTCAAGACTATAGAAAGGTTCCAGAGTAGATTCACCGGTAAGAAAGATGCTAATCGAAAGGATAATCGTTTGAACAACACCATAGCCTGTTTCGAAGTGGAGGACGAGGAGTCGAAGAAGAAAAGCGAAGCTACCAAACGTACCGCGAAGAACCTTGAATCGAAATCGAATTCTAACGGGGCCAAAATTAGTACCAACGAGACTAGGAGCAAACAAAATGGTAGCACTACGTTCACCAACTTGTTGATACGTAGAACGCATAGTACGAAGCTTGCTAGAAGTAGCAGTACTTTGGTGAAACCGACTGGTAGACACGCCTCGGTCGACAGTCCTAGCAGCGTCGCGACGCCGGCCAGAAACGATAATCACCGGTCTACGAACGAGAAATCGAGGCAAGAAGAGACGCCAGAGCATTCTGTCGTGGATAACGACGAGGGAACGGAATCGTCTGTGTTCGAGGATCCTGATGCTGATGCGGATGCTGGGATACATTCAGGTATGGATATTTTGTGTCCGCTGTTGACGGAGTAATAGCGGCTACCTTGATGGAGATTGCGGTTTTTCGCACGAGGGTTAACCGGATATCATGGTCGTTTTGCGCTTCTCAAAGATAAGGTCTATACGTCAAGCGAGGGTTTGGGGTGAGGATAATTTGTTAACGCGATTCGATAGGTTTTGAGCGTTTGAATATTTATTTCGATTGTTTGGATAGTGTAGGATATCCTCGTCGTTGATTTGATCCAATGAAATCATTTTTATTTTAAATGATCTGAGATTAGGATAATTTTTGTATGACTTTTGTTAATTCATCTGTGAAGAATCTTAGGATCAACCTATTTTCAGTAGTGGAAATAAGATAAAGGTAGAGGATGCTAAGGGCGCTCTCGTAAATCAGGTTGAGGAAGCGATCGAAATTTGCGATTCCTCCGACGAATTCACGGGTCCCGTTAGTCCGGCAGAAATTGCTCGGCAAGCGAACGCGAGCTTTTTATTTTTTCTTCGCTCGCTCTGGGATCCACCTTAATTAAGGACGGCGTATCGTGCACCCTGGTACGAGGCCCTAAGGGTCCCTTGAAAAACATTGCTTTCCCCCCATTACTTGTATGTTTACTTCGGTACTGCGTTCCAAATCGTGGAATAAAATTGTTGAATATTCTTTCGAGTTGACTGGTATATCATTTGAAAACGTCTTCTGATAATTTTGACGAGGTTAAATGGTTGGAGACCTTGAAAGTGTTGAACGTATCGAATATCCTGGTATGTTATTAATATGGTTCAAGTTGCCAATGCAAGTTGACGATAATGAAGTGTAATGTGGTAACGTCGTAAAGAAATTGACGGTAGAAAATTAGTGTAACGAGCTGAAGTGTTAATAGCATACGTTTAATTTGTAATCAAACAGTGTACTTTTACAGCACTTCATTTTCAGGGAGAAATTTGGAAAATCTCTCTCTATGTGCATACGTGTTATCGAACTACGTGGATTTTCACTCGAGTTGTCGATTACCAAAGCAGAACTTACTTACAAAGCCTCGTCCAACAGATACTGTCCCCATTACGCTTGGTTTACCTGCATTTCACGCGGAATTAAGTTAATTGATCGCCGTGCGAACCTCTAATAATGCTTCCGCGTGCAATGTTAAATATTTATAAACTGCTTGACGTAACGGAACCAGGGTGGCAGGGTTAGCCATTTTTCGTTGCCCGACTTTGAACCCCAAAAATTCCTCTTAATTGGACAGCGGAACACTTTGAAATTTGACAAATAATTTATTTAACAAATATTTCAATAATTTTTCAGGGTAAAGAATGTCAATTTGTTTTTTTTATATATAGAGTTTATAATCGTATCAACAGCAGGGGTTATTAGCGACTGTACTAACAAGGGATGTTACCCAATCGACACACGCCGATTTTGATGCCCTTTGAGTATGATATAGAACTCAAAAAAATATTTGACATGTATTTTTTTTTATCGGCAATCGTCCATGCTGAAGGGGTGAATAAAATGACAAAAATAGATTATTTTTCAATATATTTTTTAAACAAATAAATTTATCAAAAAGGTGACTACATAGAAAAATTTGCTGTTCAAAAACACACAAATTCCATTTTGAATTTTTCGCCTACACCTAATAGTTCCTGAGATATTTAAGAAAATATGTTTTGCAACCCCAACTTTGAGGGCTATTTTCACCCCTTCAGCATGGACGATTGCCGATAAAAAAAATACGTGTCAAATATTTTTTGAGTTCTATATCATACTCAAAGTGCATAAAAATTGACGTGTGTCAATTGGGTAATGTCCTTGTAAGAATTACAAATACATTAGGGATAGATGGTTAGGAGCTATATTAGCAGGAGGGTTTTCATAGCTTGTCCAATATTCCGATGATGTTACAGGTATCCTGGTGGAATGTCGATGTGACCTCAATATTGAATCTTCTCCTTATTTGCGCGTGTAATCTGCATTCAATGATGATGAGGTGGATGGTTAGATTTACGTTGAAATGTGAATGTTAGAAGTTTCAAAAATTGAGTAAATCATTTGTTTAGAATTTTTCGACTTTAAGATTTCTTGAAAAATTTTAGAACCTTCCAAATCATTTATTTATTTTCGTATAATTTACGTATGTTCCATTGTGATTCCATTGCAATTTTAAATTTCATCGAATATCTGTGTATCGTATATGTACTCCGTACAATTAATTGTTGATTTTCGATGAAGTATATACATATATACGTTGTCCACGAGGAACGGGTTAAGAATGCGGAGGACCTACTTACACGGCAGCCTGCTCCAGCCACCTGCCTTTCGAGCTAGGTCGAGAGAAAAAGGCTGGTGCGATTGTGCTTCCTTTTGTCAGGGCTCTTTAGGGACCTTCTAGGGTGAACCCTTTAGCTGGTTTTTTGAATACTGAGCATTCAGACGTAGAGGGAGGGAGGTGGGCTTATTCGAACCATCTGACACTTGAACACGTATACTCGCGATCAAACTAGACTTCTGTTTCAATTATTTTACAACGATATTTTAATTCCGATATTATAATTATTGCGATATTTTAGTATTTTCACGAAATTGCAAAAATGAAAATCAGCGATTTCTAACGCACTCCTATAAACAGCGATGACAAATCAATAAACTAAGTCACTGTTTACAGTTTACTATGTATCAATCTGATATCTGGTGGTATCTGATAAGAGATTAAGGAAAGGAACCCGTCATTTAGTTTCTTGAAAATGTTTTGAAATAATCACAGCATAGCTTTATTTCTAATATAGTAGCTTACTCAAAAATAACTCATACATCCCTCGCTATTTTTATTCTTAATCGAGGATTAAAATTCACTTCTAAGTGACACGGTTTATAGTTTCAATTGATAATTATATTTCTTACAATTTTTCGTGCTGTACATCATTAAGGATTACTCCAATTTTAATTCTATCGTTCGATGCACTTCTAGTTGCATAGCGCATAGAAGTGCATCACAAACGCAATATCTATATAATGCAAATTCCCCTAAAAGACCATAGAAATGAAATGTTAGTTGAAACATGCGAATCAAAGCATCGAACGTAGTAGCTGAAACGTTTTTCCCTAAAAAGCGACATAAGGTAGTCGTTCCATATCGCTCGGATATTAAGCTTTTCGAGCCATATTGCACCGGTATCATCACAGATAAGTTCAATCGTTTATCTGTCCTATTTTTCGTCCGTAGAGCCGAGGCGAATTCGATTTTTCACGCTACCAATTTCACGTTTCCATGAAACGGGATCGCGATCTACGATCCGGGAATTCTGTAGCCGCAAACGAGCGTATAATGGATCGACCTGGATGTTTCGCTCGTGAAAAATCGTGATGACATCGACGGTTTGCAGCTTCATCGCGAAAAATCATCGCCTTCTTTTTTTTTCTGCCTTGATTTCACCCTTGGTTCTTCTTTCTTTCTGTTGACCCCCTTTTTTTTTGTTCTTTTCATTTCTGCTGGGTCTCCCTAACGGATCGTTGGTCGGACAATGATGATATCGGACGGGGATGATGAAGAATGTGAATGGTTGCGCGTTCGTTCTAATGATCCGTGTATAAGTGTGCACATGTGGTCGGAAAGTGAAGAGGATATAAGCGTAGCTCGTATGAATATTTCAGAGAGACCTCGCGTTACGTCGAGACCTCCTTTTTTCTTTCGTTTTTCTATTTCATGACTTCAGTCTCGACGAATTGCTTTTCGAATGGAAAACATTTGAAATTCTTGCTCGAGACAGCTTTGAAATTTCTTCGTTATTTTATTAGTTATTAGTATAGACAAAATTTTCATCGATGATGATTTTAACATGTTCGTTTAAATAGATGCAATTACAATCAGTGTCAAGTTTCGAGGTAAAAAGCTTTTAGAGGGCATTCATTTAAATGGAGTAACACGGTGGCCTCGTTTCTGTCCACCCACTGCACGTAACAGTGAACGATGCGACACGGTGTCGGTAATAACGCGAAATGACATCAGAATCTCGCTTCTTTGCCAGTAATTACCGTCTAATAGCAAACCGGTGAACAGAAGGCGGATGAAACGAACACACCGAGAGCGAAATAAATTTTCAGGCCGAGCGGTTGAATCTAGGTCTCGTTATGAAATGATTTCGAAACGAGCTCGGGACTGTTACTTAATTGTGGTCGATCGTGCTTGACGGTCGATGCGTTGTGACGTGGTCTTTCTGAATAATGTGACGGAGTTTATGTTTCTTTGATGGTCGACTGTTCTTCAATTAAATCATACTTGATGCATTACCGAAGATTAACATTTCAGTATTTTCAATAATTCTGTGTTCTGTGATTCGCCATTTATTATTGGAAACTTGATTCTTCTAAATTTTAACTCAAATGGTATTGTTCGGTCTTCGTATTAATTTTACATAACATATTTATTTATATTTACCGATGGTATTGTGTTTGAAAATAGGTTTAGGAGCGAAGGTATTCAAGTGGAATGAATTTACACGTGTTCAGTGTATTTATAACGCAATTCCTTATTTAATAAATAATAAAAAGAACCAGAGTAATAATTATCTACAAAGATCAAAGAAGTATCCTTTATTAAAATAGATTGTATCCATAAATTAAAATAGACTCATTAATGTTACTAAGAGAACTCTACAAAAAAATTTCATATATAAAGCAAGTACTGGAGTGTAATAAATTTACATGTGTTTGTTACATTTATAACTTTTATTAATAATAAAGAGACCTAGATTAGTCGTAGTCTATAAGTACCAGGGTCGTGTTCGATTGAGACAGGTTTTTTATTTATTTTTAATTATTATACATTAAAATAGGAATTCTTTGTCATTATATTAGACGATACATACACGTGTTTATAAGATATTATACGCGTGTGAAGTTTCCACAAAATTGCGATCACTTTCACCCACAATGTTTCGTTCTCCGTTCACTGAACAAATATTTTCACGCTTTCCTTTCGACCAGGCTTGAAATCGAAGTTT